AAATATTAAAAACACGATGTATCTCGCTGCATTGCGCGAGTACTCTTCTAGTAATTATTTGGGAGTTACAAATCTTTTAAGATCTCTCTAATTGATCATGAGGTAATTCCAATGTTCATGGTGTTCATATCCATGTAATGTCCATGAACATTCACCGTGTTCATATAAATGTTCACCGTGTTCATGCGATATTTTTACAAAAGTACCCTCTGAACTGTTGTTCATAGGTATCTCAATTAATATATTAATTAAATTATTATTTTTATAGTCTCATTTAATAAGGACCGTTTGATGAGAAAATGAACGATCAAGTTCGGGTTAACATAGTTTGCACAATAGTTTTGGTTAGTATTTGAACCAGCCCCTATATATATATATATATATATATATATATATATATATATATGATTGGGTTCACGTGAGACCAGCCTATTTTCGTGAGCACCATGATACCACATTTTTACACGTAAACTTCACAGCAAAAACACTGTGAAAGTTAAAAAAAGTCGAACCTTCCCAACTTAAACACTGTAAAGGTTAAAAAAAGTCACTTTCACAACATTTTGTTTTGAAGTTTCAAGTATAAAAAGGAGGTCTCACGGGTCTCATGAAAACAAGCTGGTCTAACATGATCCCAAGTTTATATATATATATATATATATATATATTGCAACATGTCTGTTTCATATATTTAGTTCTCAAACATGTAATTTACTTTAAAATGTATAAAGAGAATCTTAATAGATTCTCTAAAATAGAGAAAAATAAAATTTTGCTTAAACAAATTCTTTAAAATAGAGAAATACCAAGAAAGTATGTGAAATTCTCCAAATGTAGAAAACTCTACAAAAATATTATTATCATGAAAGAAAAATTATGTTTTACCAATAAGAAACTCTGATGTCAAATATTTATGGGAGAATAATATTTTATATATAAAAAATAATTTAATAATATAATTAATGATGAAATTTATAAAATAAATAACCTGTAATTTTTTTTATACTAAAAGGGTACTCGTAGAATGCAGCGAGATACATCTTGATTTTAATGTTTTGTTTTATTTATTTATTTTGTCTCAATTGATGTTATAATATGGTTTATGTGGTTTTGAGAAAACAATGACGTTTTTATTTTTGAATAAAATATAAATATGAAGATACCATAAGAAATTGAAAAAAAATATTGATATTAGTACCAAATTAACTATTTAAAATTTATCTTTATTTTTTTATTTATCTTTTTATTTTGAGTTTAATAGTATAATCTTTTCATAAAGATAATAACTAACTATTTTATTATAACTTAATGATTATTCTAATTATATTTTAGATTTTTTATATTTAAAATAAGATCTTTATCCTATATTTGATTATGTTTATCTGCAGTTAGTTACATAAATTCATATATGAAACTTTAATAAGTTATACTTACATATAATTTACATGTAATCTTGAATTATAAGTAATATGCATATATAAAATATGATTTTTAAGAATTTTTATCAAATATTTTATAATATATTATAGATACTGAGAAATTTTAATGAATCCGTGGAGATGCAAACAAATATTCAGTAAATTGAAAATGAATTCTTTTTAACATTTGTTTTTGCTCCAAATTCTGTGTTTGTATGGTCGTTAATCCCCAATATTGACGGTTATGGTTCGTTAATTTCTTCATGCCGGCTATGGATTCTGAAAAGTTTAGCAACTAACACAAAATGAGAAAATTAAGAACCAAATTTATAGTAATCTTGTATTTCATAACGTCGACATTGAGAAGATAAAGAGATTGTTGTTTTGGATTGGATTGGATTGGGTGGTAGCAGTCAAAAAAGGTTGCTTCACTTCTTTCAGATAGAATTCTCCAATAAAATTAGGAATTTTTTTTGTGAGAGACGAGGAGGATGTTTGGACTGAAAGGGCCATCTGGGTTCTCAAGATTCTCAACAGCCGAGGAAGTTACCCAAGGGATTGATGGGTCGGGTTTAACCGCCATTGTTACAGGTCAGTAACTCACCTGATCTATAGTTATCCTATCTCAAAGACAAAGCTGATTGTCGTTCTTAATTATTTTGCTTGCTTTCCAACTGTTTGATGAAAGTACCAACTGAAAAACCAATTTTATCAGGAGCATCTAGTGGCATTGGGACTGAAACTGCACGGGTTCTTGCACTTCGTGGGGTTCATGTAGTTATGGCGATCAGGAATATGTCAGCAGGGAGAGAGGCGAGAGAAGCAATCCTAAAGCAAAACCCAACTGCCAAAGTCGATGCCATGGAGCTGGATCTCAGTTCCATAGCATCAATAAACAATTTTGCATCAGATTTCAAGTCATCAGGTCTTCCACTCAATGTCCTTATGTAAGATCAGTTGCCATGGTTTTTATTTGCTTATTTTGTTAGATTTTTCATCCTTCTTTGGCTCTGTCATTAGATTCAATAGTATCCAGCCTTGTGATTCTTTATGATTGACCCCCTTTCCCCTTTAAATACCCAAACTCCATGTCTTGTCCACCAATCAATTCTTGACACATCATTGCATTATCGGAAAGAGAATAATTCAATAAATTTCTGATGGGTCAGAAGTTGACTGGTGGAACTGAGAGGGGACATGGGGTTTGAGGAATTTGATTTGTATCTCCCCCCCCCCTCCTTGTGATTCAAAATCGAAGAGATTTTAATCAATATTGCAATATTTCATGTTTGGTACTTCCAGAAACAATGCAGGAATCTTGGCAACCCCATATATCCTCTCCAAAGACAAAATAGAGCTACAATTTGCAACTAATCATGTTGGTAAGGATGTAAAGATGCATGCTTTCTTGAATCTTTGGCACACCCCATATATGTGTTAATGATTTTATCAATCAAGTAGTTTAATTTTGAACAATTTTTATCGTTGCATTTTAAAATATTTGCTATTACTATCAAACTCCATTCAATGTTTAACAGATATAGCATGCATACGATCATGTTGATGTGGTACTTATGGAATGTTGCGATGATTTAGCCGTTCCAAATTGAATCAAAATGATCTCTTTGAAAAAAAATCACCACTTTATGACTTTTAATCTGATGTTGTCTGTATGATGCATTCAAATACCATTAATTGTTTGCCTGCTCTTTGCTTTACTTGTATCAGGCCATTTTCATTTGACAAATCTTTTACTAGAAACCATGAAAAAAAGTGCATGCGAAAGTAGTAAAGAAGGAAGGATTGTGAACGTCTCATCACGTAGGCACCAGTTTTCTTACCATGAAGGGATTCGCTTTGACAAGATTAACAATCAATCCGGGTAAATTACAATATTGATTTATAGCCAAGTGCTAGTTATTTTTGACAAGATTAATGTTATATCCTCCTAAACGATGCTCGGAGAATCATATGATGTTTAGATTATTGGCAGGTACAATGGTTTATCTGCATATGGTCAGTCAAAGTTGGCAAATGTTCTCCATTCTAATGAGCTTACAAGGCGCTTAAAGGTACACATGATAGGATAGTTCAAAAACTTCTCCCATAGACTTCTTTCTGTCCCACCACACCAGAATAGGTGGAACATAAATCAGGAAGATGAGATAATATTAGCAAATTACTAAAGTACCCATGTCAAATTAAAACCCTAAAACCTTCCATTGTTCTTTCACTATCCTACCTCACTCTCGCTTGTCAAGTCATGTCCGCATGGTAAGCGCACCATAAGTAATTGACATATTTATGGCATTGTAATAAAGTGATCAACTTTTGGGAGCTGAGAGGGTGGATGGAATTAAGCTCGACCAGCGGGAGAGGAAGCATGACCAATCTTATCTTGTTTCAGAAGCTGGTAGAGAGATGGTTTGATGTATCCCATTTGGTATCTCTGTGTCCGAGATTTCCAGCCTGATCTTTTCAGAAAAGATAGGGAAACATTAATCTGCTAGTTATGTCATCTCTAATCTTCGTAAAGAATGATGATTGGCATATACCACATAAGTAATAATGATAATGATGATGATGATAACAATAATGACGAAGGTTTCACAAACAGGAGGATGGAGCGGAGATAACGGCAAACTCAGTTCATCCAGGGGCAATCGCCACCAACATCTTCCGCCATCACAGCTTTTTTAGCGGTACCTCCTTTCACTCTTGATACTCGTTTCTATTTCTAGAAGTTACATGATCCACTTTGGAGATTTCAATATAAATTGTTTCATCAAAATATTCAATAGATTTAATATTTCAAGAAACTTTCAGATAAAGTTTATATAAAAGGATAATACATTCAACCTGGTGGGAACAATAAAAACATGTTTCTCCCCCTTCATTAATTTCGGAGAATTCTCCAAATTTGGAAGAAAAAGTTCCATTTTGGAGTAAAAAGAAAGGTTAAAAACTCCAAATGCTCAATTTTCTCCATTTTGAAGAATCTTTTGGAGATACTCTTATGTGCCCATATTTTTCTGGTGAGTGACTTGCCCTACAGTTGCATGCCAAGTACAATTGAGTTGTTCAGGATCGAGGACATAATTAGAGGACACAATTGCGTACATCTCATCTCAAGACCCAAACCTGTGGGACATGTTGAGTATGTTTGGTTTGGTTTGATTTGGTTACAATAGAGTTGTTTGTGGATATTGATGCAGGTCTTGCTAACATCTTTGGTAAATACGTGCTTAAAAACGTGCATCAGGTGATCATTCATATCCCGAAAACTTCATTTTATCTGAATCGATAGCCCAAAAGTTTGCAATCTACATCATCAATAATGGCATCATTTCTTCTAACAGGGAGCAGCAACTACATGCTACGTAGCATTGCACCCACAAATTGAAGGAATCAGTGGCAAGTATTTTGTAGACAGCAATTTAACCGAACCAAGCTCACAAGCTAACGATCCCCAACTGGGACATAAGTTGTGGGATTTCACCGCGCATTTGATCAAGGAAAACTCTCCCCGAACTCATCAAGATTCTTGAGAACTGATTTTTTTACCGGTATGCAGTTGTTCAGTTTTGGGGGCTGTTTGGTTGGTTTTACATTTAAGTCCTGTATGGATAAAGTTGTTTGTGTGGATTAGTCTGTCTGTATAGACTAGGAAGATTTTGTTAGGGAGGGATTTTTCATAGATGGAAGGAGGGTGTTCTTTACTTGAGAGAGGCCGGTTTGGGAAAAACTTGGTTTTTTCTGCATAAAGCACTTCCTAAAAGCTTATTAAATAAACCACTTTCTATATCATTAAGCCACTACCAAATAGTAATATATAGCTCACGAATAAGCTGCGAGTCCTATTAACTCATTAAGCTACTAACCAACAAACCCTTAGTTATTTTAAAATAATCGATCATAACATAAAATCAAATTTAGAGTTTTCATTATGTACTAAATCATACCAAAATACAAATGGTCCAGTTGATTCCCCATTTTCTGTACAGCAGCTTGAGCTTGCCACATAAAAAAAGTAGCCCTAAATCTACTGCTCTATCCTTCTATATGTGATGATGATATAAGATGTTAATTTCAGGTTTATACCATCATTTTTCTAAGTGAACCATCTGTTTACAATCATATACGAGTTAACGGTGCGCTAAATCAGTCAGAGGCCTTGATGATGACTTGAGAACGAGCTCCCATGATATGCAAACTGAAATCCACCTTTGAACAGCTCGATTTCAGTACAACAATGAAGATCACATCTTGAGGATTCTGAGTTTGAGTTTTATAAAGGATTTAGATCCAAAAATGGTTTGAAGTTCACTTTGTCTTTGAGGAGCAAGTGAGATACCGAGTCTGCCAAGACTGCATGTCCTCCTTGACGTTCTTGAGTGAGCCCACGTAACTGGTTTGCAGGGTTATAACCACGAGTTTCGGGCTGCTTTGCTCGAAAGATATCAGGGACAGTAGGAGCAGGCATGCCATTTCCATAAGGGTTATGGGAGAAGTAATGTGAGTGATTAATGTGATGAAATGGAATAGAACCACCACCGCTAGTTAAAGGGGTGGACGCGCCCGAAGTGGTGCGTGGACTAGATATTGGAGACGGAGACATCCTTCCATTAATGTGTTGAGGTGACCTTGAATGTAAAAGAGGGCTTCCGATTGGGGACACTGGACAGGATATATTTCTCGGAATTTGGAGATCACTGTAAACAAAATAAATACAAGGTTTATATAGCTGCAAGTATACGCACACACGTGCTTGATTGGTAGGCTTGTAAATGTGTGTGTGTGTGTGTGTGAGAGAGAGAGAGAGAGAGAGAGAGAGAGACCTGGAACTAAAACCAGGTTTTGGTATTCTAAATGAATGATTAGTATGCCTATCAGTATCAAGTGCTCGCCGACTTCTTGGATGTCCAATTCCCTGGGATAAAAACAACGTTAAATGAACAATCGTACTAATAAAAGATAACCAGCAGACATGCCAACGGATTCTTGCAAAAACCACTGCTACTATCAGAACAGCATATAGAAGTCAAGCAAGCCTGCCAAGTTTGGAACTTTATATTTCAATTAAGGGGTTAATTACAAAGAATGATAACCAACTTTTTGTTCCAATTTTTTGATAGGGAGGGGGGGAGACCCCTCCAGATCAAGGCAAAACACTAAACACTAAAAACAACAAATACGCGCTCGGGTGGGGGCGAACCACATCCACCAGAATATCCAAGGCACCTCTAGGGGAAAGAAAATGTTTGAACTTCGCAAAAACTTTCATTCAGGATAATATGGACCAGGTTGGTTGCCATTCTTTGCTTTTAATTAGGCCCAAGAAATCACAACCAACTGGTCCGTATTACCATAAATGAAATCAAGCATTTTTTGGGTGATTTTTATACTTCAGTAACCAAGGTTAACATAAAAAGATGACTCTACCTTAGATTTCACCCCATTTGTAATTACAGGTGGTGGATCTGATGGCTCAGGACATGGTATTGGTCTTTCCAAAGGTGCAGCATTTCTTACAAAACAGTGATCCAAGAGCTGAGCAGCCGTAGGACGATGTTGTGGATTGCGTTGCAAACATTGCCTTACAAAATCCTTACCCTCATCTGAGAGATGATCAGGAATAGCAGGAAGTTCTTTACTGTTGCCAATCTTAAACAAGGCAGCCACCTTTCAGCAAACATTAGCAATTATTAGAAAGAAAGAAAAAAAAACAGTTTTTCCACCCAAAATCATGTCAAATGTCTACAGAAAAATTATCCCAAAAGTAATGGGACTTATGAAGCATTAAGAGTAACTCTACATACATAATGATTTTAGAATACTGACCCCCTCATACTGGCTCCAAGGTGGTTTTGTTGTTGCCATTTCCAAAACTGTGCATCCGAGACTCCAGATGTCAACGGCAAGATTGGAACCAGTGGTATTCTTTATAATCTGTATGGATGCAGGAGAGTGAGAAGTGCATCCCTGGGCAAAAGTGAGACAAAAAAATGTATACTGACCTCAGGTGCCATCCAGTAAGGACTTCCTTTGAATGACAATGGGCATGTCTGCCCTGTGATCTGTAATGTTTCTAAATATCAGGATCTTGGAAAGAAATTCATTTACTGTTCAGAAGATCTCAAAATTTTGGAAGACTAAAAGGGAAGTTCAGTTTTGACTGATAGAATACTATCTTGTTCGGTTTTATCCTTATTACTACTTAAACTTACATGCTTTGCCATTCCAAAATCTGCCACTTTGACTCGGCCATTTGGGTCAACAAGGATATTTGCACCTTTGATATCCCTACACACAAATTTCGAAATACACCAAATAAAAATTGGTCATTTTTAAGTTTAAGAAGAAATGAGCGATCTGAAAGACAACAGATAGGAACTATGCTACTTGCTTCAAATGCAATTCACCTGTGAATAGTATTCTTGGCATGTAAATATGCAAGCCCTGACAAGATTTGTTGAGTATAACTTCGGATTGCCAATTCACCTAATTGTCCATACTCTTGAAGAATCTTATAAATGGAACCACCAGAGACATATTCCAAATATATATAAAGTTTGTCATCTACCTGTTCAAGAATCAGGAGTATATAGCCAGTGTTAAAGAAACTGATATACAGAAGATTCAACCAGATATAATTCTGGCCAAGGAACATACAAGCAAATGAAACCATACATATATGAGAACATTATAATAAGAACTAAATGAGTGGTATTTTATAAAATAAAATAAATAAATTCGAGTATACGAATGAGCTGGCAAATAGAGAACTTGCCATTTCGGAGCCGTAGTATTGAACAATATTTGGATGGCTTAAACGACTCAATAAAGAAACTTCCTGCAGAAGTAGAGAAATATCATTGGTAACAGGCATAGAAAACATCAGCTGGAATGAGAAATAAATAAAAGCAACCATGTTAACCAATAGAAAATAATGCCTCCATAAATGGCAAATATTCGTACTTGCCCCAACTGTTTTGCGCTTTCCTTCGACTTTGCGTCATCGGAGAACAAAGTGACCTCCTTCATAGCACACATTTCGCCACTTTCACTACACCAGAAATATAATCCCAGGTAGGCAACAAGTCAGACCAGGATAAACACTCGGTAAACTAGAATAATAAAAAATTGCACATGACCATATATGTGAATGTGATTCTAAGCTATCAAACTGACCATTTAAAGCACTTGGAAAATATAAGCAGAGGCGGTACCGGGCAACAGGCAAAGAATGGAAATGGAAGTATTGAAAGCATCTATTATTTGATACCTGTTGAAACCGACATAAACATGCCCAAATGAGCCTCTACCCAGCAGCTTTCCCTTCTTCCATCTTGAGCCCGGGCTTGTTAGATTCTCTGCCCGTCCTGGACTTCGTGGTACAGAAGGAGATGTTGCTGCTGAATTTGACTGAGAAAAAGGTGAAGAACTGGTGACTGAAATTGGAGGAAGTGGCAACCTGTGACTTTGTTTTTTTCCATCATCTGGCCGGCTATTTTGTGACTCATTGGCTGCCCCTCCGGCTCTTGGGTGGAGTGGTGTCACAGCACCACTATGAATTCGAGAGCCAGGGCCAGGACTAGTCATTCTGGGACTAGGAAGCGGAGAATACTCTGGGCTACCCCTACTGGGCTGCCAAAATATGCCAACCATGTCACCTCCCATAGAATTATGCCCAGAATTCTGGCCTGATCCAGGGCTGGAGCAGTGACCAGATCCAAGTAAAGGAAAATCTAGATTTGGCTTTCCGGCATAGAAAGCAGAATTTATGACTTGTTCGGTTCCAAATGCTCGTAATGGACTTCTAGAAGGACTTGAGATCGAGCTGTCTGGAGCACTGCAAAATGCAACATGGCAAGGGACCTGAAGACTTGGCACGTGACTGCTTAATGGTTTTCTCCTTGGGGGTGAGGAAGAGATATGATTGTTGAACAAATTGTCACGTGGTTTTGCTGCATCCTTTGAATGAATTTTTGTGACATGTGACTGATTCTTGACGATCATGCTTCAGCAAACAATCAGAAAGACATAAAAAAGAAAGAAAGAGGATATTAGCCTGGGCGTAAACTAGACAAAAAGTAGCATTCAAATGAAGTGACAGGTTGAGACCAGTCTAACTATATTAAACCATTCACATGAAACACTGGCCAGCATAAGAAAGAGTTCTGAAGAACACCTCTACTCCATCTGCTTCTCTTTTATCAACCTACCGCATGCATTATTATGTAACTATTTGAATATAAGCTTACCTGGTAGGGCTGCCAGCAGTAGTTCGACTCCCTGTATCATAATCAGATGCCAAGGGACTACGTTGGCTTGAGTCAGGTGGATCATCACTATCACTATAACATTCACTAGAAACAGAATCTGCTCCGTCATAATCTGCAGGATCTGGCCTGGTTTGCATGCATTCAGGATGTGGGAGTGGGAGAAATGACGATGATTTGGATCCCTTTTCTTGTCTTGGCTTTCCTGATACACTGATTCCAGGCTCATTACTAACCACATGCAAAGGGAGAAGGGCTGGAAGCGGGAGTGGTTGAGCCTGAGGTCTATGTTGAAAACTTTGACATCTTGCTACATGTTTGGTTTCTCTGGAAGGTGATACCGACCTGGATTCAACCCTGGATAAAGACCCCTTCTCTGAAAATGTGTCGCTGCAAGCTCTTCGAGAACCACATGATCTATTGGTCGATTTATTATCAGAAGGGATCCTAAATCTCCGAAATGTGTCAAACAAACTCTCCTTGCTTGTCTTTTTCTTCTTTGCTTCTTTTGATGAAGACTTACCCCACCATGAAGGCATATTTGTGGACACGGCCTAGAATGAATGTTTCCAAAAAGAAATGCACTCAATCAATCAATCCCCCAAATTCCAATGAGATTATTCCTTATGTCTCATTCTGTACAGATTAGGCAATATGCTTCATTCTCTGTCAGAACCACAATATAGCAGCTTCCGACTGCTAAGGATACAACTTCTGACATATCAAACAAAAAAATAGGTACAATTAATACCAGTATATCACCTTCAATATATTAATCAGTTAATGGCAGTTATGCTATATAAGATGCATTTGGGAGTACATTCCTATATAAAGGTGTATATGGTTTTGCAAACTTTTTAAGCTGCTTGACATAAAGAAAAATCCCCTGCCCTTTCAGGGAAAAAGATTATTTATACATCCAGAGAATGGAGAAAAATATATTTGACCTGTTCACTAGTTTATACTTATGTGAGACAGAAAAAGAGATGGATCAAACACCAACACTATTTCAAGTACAAATTATACAGGTTCAACTGTGGATCTCTGAACACATAATTGTTAAACTATCATGCCTACCCCTGCTACTTCCACTTGGCACTATTTTGCAGCTCACCATAAAAGCAAGACAGAGTTAAACACTAAACTCATGAGAGCAAACACCTTTTAATAACTACATGAGTAACAGAATAATAATATTTGGAGAGTGAGGTTCCTCATATAAAATTAAGAAAATGATGGACAGGTTTCTGCTGTTCCCACCTTAAACTGTGAAGAAGTTTTGTAGTTAAATTTGCAGTAGAGGGGAGAAACAGAGGTAAAGCGACTGTTTCTATGAAGACCCCCCTGGCTTGTGAATAGGTGTGTGCGAAAAAAAGGTTTTGACCTGAAAGTCCACCTTCATTCCATCTTCAGATTTTTAGGTCACATGAATCTAAAGTCCATCAACATGAACCTAGTGAATAATTTTGTAAGAAGCATCAAAGATACAAAGAACATGATGCTTCCAGCTGCATAATTTTCGTTAATTACGTAACCTGTGCATGACTTTCGATGTTATCAACATCATTTACATTGTACAGCTGGCAGTAGCTATTTACAAGAAATTTCCATTATCATGTACTAAGATCTTCAACCCCCACCTTCATAAGGTTTGTTACAGATAGCTTACTCCTTGCTTTCAGGAAACAAGTTCTTAACAGAGGCATTACCAAATATACAACTCAAAATGAAACAGCATTAGGACAGATAAATCAATTCCATTGATACGAAATACTGACATCAAAACTAATTACACACATCTCTGTCTATTCAACTTCAAAAATTCAAACAGTAACCAAGTACCAAAAAGTTAGCATACTTCCCAAATCAACAAATTTCAATTGATTATATACAAATTCCCCACTTCCTTTCACCATTTCTCTAACCAACACCCACGTACATACAGAGGATTTGATCCATTACGAACACTGATTTTTTATTAGGTCGGTAAGCAAGTCGATCTAGAATTGCAAGATTACGGCATTTTGAACATAGATCTACGCTAAGATTGAGAATGAAATCAAGAAACCGAAACAAAAGTAGGTGATGGAAGAAATCAAAACTAACCTTGTATCTGAAGAAGCAAATGATCTTGAGGTACAAGAAACAAAATGTGATTGAAAAGCAAAGCAAAGCAAAGCAAGATAAAGATTCTGGAATTGGGAGGGTTCTAAATGATACGGGAGAATCAAGTGACAGAGAGATTTGTTTGCTTTTGATTTGTTTAAAGGAGAGTGGAGCAAAAGTGAGTAATTACTGTGATCGCCATTCCTGATTTCTCTGACAGTAAATTAGTAACAGTAATAAAGACTACTCTTCCACCCTTTGCTCCCCACCATTTTCAAATTTCAATTTTTATCTGAGTTGTTTATAAAAATAATTTATCGACTTATTCCGATATGACATCAGTAATAAGCACTTTTGAAGGTTTGGATAAACAGTTTATACCGGTAATAAGAAGTTTTTGAAGAATTTAAACGATTCTAACTTATAATAAGTTGATAAGGACTTTTGTAAATAAACAAAAGTTGTTTCAAATAAGCAATCCCAAACACCCCTTTAATTAATTTAATAATATCCATCTAAACACCCTTTGAAAGTTATCTCATCTACGCTTTTGTAACGGAAATTCTTTGAATTGAATGACCGATCGTAGCAAATGTCGGTTCAATATGAAGGATTGCATTTTTGTAAGGTCGTAATTGTACAGATTGAGCAATCCCTTTCGTTTTTCGTTTATAGGAACTGATAGAGAATTTGTATTTTATATACAAAGTCAAAACACCAGAACGTCGAACCAAACAAGCTCTAGGAGGAATTTGAGGAGGGCTGTAAGTTTATTAGAGCATTTCCAACAAGTTCTTTAAAATGGAGTTTTTGAAGACTTTTTGGGCAAAAAGTTGACTACTAGCAACCAATTGATCCTACATGAAACTCGCCTTTAAAGACACCAATGTGAGGGGCATTTTCTTGACTCACTCAGTGGTTGAGGCTAGAGGGAAACCAGGATTCAACTCAGGAACTGCCTTGTATTTGGGCAAAGTCATCTCACTATTTTACCAACTGAGCTACACGCTTGGAGATTTTGACTTTTGAATTAGTTTTTTGCTCCAACGGATTTTTTAAACTTTTTTTTCCCAAATGAAGAAAGTATGAGAGAGAAAAAGGGTGAATGATATTCTCCAAATTTAAAAAACTCTCAAAAAATGATTACTTAATAAAAAAGAATTTTTTTTATTATATTTTCACCAATAAAAAAAAACCCTGAAATTAAACATTTATGATAAAGAAAATAATATTTTATTATAATATATGAAATATTTTAATAATATAATCAATGTTATAATCTCCTAAATGAGGAAACTGTTGAAGTTGAATGTCACTTTCTTTTGAAAATTTAGAGTTCTGATTGTCTGCTTTGAAAAAATTATGAAGAATCTATTGAAAATACTCTTACATAACAACCATTAATTACTACTGTGAGTTAATTGATCTTTTATGTTACTTGAAAAACGAATAAAAAGTCAAACTAACAGGAAGAAAAAAGTCAAAGATTTATATAAATACGAAAACTAATATTAAAGGTGGAATTATGATACAATTATGAAAAATATCTGATTACAAGTTGGTATAACGATCTATTATATTAAAAACATAATAATTATATTTAAAAATAATTTAATAGAAAACTTATTCCATGGACTTTTTTTGTGGGTAAAAAAACACCATAAACATGTCACATGGGGCACATGACATGAAGCCATGCATGTTTTTTTTTTCTTTTCTTAAAAACAAAGAAATTTAAAACGATGGATTTAAAAGTGTGATGTTTGGTTTGAGAAAACAAGAATGAAAGTATATGATGTAATTGTTTCCTGATAATGAAGATGGTTCCCAAATAACAGTTACGGTACATGGTCGAACGTGTTACTGGTAAATCTTTCTGTTGTAAAGTAAAAAAAAATTAGCTTCGTGAAAGATACAGTTGTAGCGTTTTAGAAGATGCAACTGTTTTATATGGTGTAACAGTATGGGAAAATTCTTGGGTCCGTTTATGCATTCAAGTTTGATTTATGATTAGTCTTGTTACCGCTTTTGGCGTGTAGCTCAAATGATAAAGGAACAATGCGACTTTGACCTAATATAATACAGGGCTCGGGTTTGATTACCCACCCCCCCCTCGGCTGAGGCAGAAAAATGTCTCGTTAAATTGGTGCTCTTGAAGGTAGATTATGTGTGGGACCGGTTTGGGTTATCAGTAATCAAAATTTTGTCCAAATTAGCATTGTTACTGATGATAACAAATATTATATTATTATTACATAATAACTGTGGATACGCAGACCAATTTATATCTAGATCGACTAATTTCGTTAGATCCTGAAGTTAACAGTTAGGCAAACCTCTAATGACTCTGAAAACTTGAAGCGGTGTTCAGGATTTGACTCATGAGACCCTGGAGTAAAGAGTTAGACAAATCTTTAATGACTTTAATAAACTAAAACTTTCAATAACTAATGACTTGTGAGATCCTGGAGTTAATAGTCAAATAAACTTTCAATAACTCTATACAAAATCTAACCCGTGAGTAGTGACACGGGAGATCTTGAAGTTATTCCCTTTTTTTTTTAAATAATAATTTTACTTTTAAAGTTATTAGTAGTATTGATATTACGTTTGTTGTGGCTACGGAGGTTCAAATGTGGTGACTCCAGTTTACTCGCAAAGCAGGTAGTCGTCCTGAGATTAGTCGGCTCGCATAACAAGTCGGATATCTAGGTTAATCAAAAAAATATATTATTAGTCTTGTTCAGCGGTAACAATAATCATAATATTAATACTACTAATAACATTAGTATTATTATTTATAGTATTTATTATTAATGTATGAAAATATTATATTGATAACATTATGTTATTATTTTGAGGATAATGTTTTTTATGAGTAAATTACGGATTTGGTCCCTGTGGTATGTTGATTTTTATGAATTTGATCCTTAAACTTTATTTATTATGGATTTGGTTTCTGTAGTATGCATTTTCTATCCGATTTGGTCCTTGTATCAAACAACCGTTTAGTGTTTCTGTGAAAACTGAGGGTAAAACCGTCCTTTTAAATTTCATCGTTTTAGTACTTCATTATTTTTATTTTTTGAACCACCTATTGAATGATGACACGTGGATGGCGTTAAAAAACAAAAATAAGAAATTCTTTCTTCTCCCCCTCCATCCTTCCCGTTTCTCCGGTCACCTCCAATTTCTCCGGTGACTATCTCTCTCCCCCCCCCTTCAACTGTTCTTCTGATGACAGCATCCATCCCTACCCTCCGATACCCGCCTTCGTCCCGAACACTACTCCAACCCCCTGGAAGCCTCAACCTTAGCTGCTTCATCGATCTCCGACCTGCTACGGTCGAGAACCACCATCACCATCCTCTTCTTTCTTCCTTTCCCTCCCTGCTCCGGTTGAAAACCTCCAGCACTTCCTTTCTCCCTCCCT